AAGTTCAGACGTCCGGCGCTCTGTACCGAAGGGTTTTCAAAAAGAATTTTTAATAGTTTTCTGACCAAATCGTATACGTTCTTTCAGAATCTGTGATCAAAAACGAATTTTGAAATTGAGGAGGTGGGGGGTATCTTTGGTATGTTCATGGATTCTCTCTTAAGTGTCTAACTTATCATTTTCAGCAAATTATTGTGCTTTGCTATCGTATTGTTCACAATCCAACCAACACAGCCTATTTTTGTATTTTTTTAGTTCAAAATGGTCAATAAAATGTATTACTTAAAAACTTAACACACTAAAAGTCATCCCGTGCAGCTTTGCACGGGACTTGCTAATGATAAAAAAGAAATAAATTACTGACAAAACAAAAGAGCAGGACCTCATCAAATGACTCAGATGAAATTAAGTAGAAGAATGATGACGTTTCTAGTAAAGTATCTTCTCCCATGGAACTGCCATTGTTTAATCAAACTACATCTAAAAAATAAAATTTCTTCATTTTCTTTTTTACTTCTAAGAATAGAAACAAGAACGTCTGACAAAATACGAAGTTGTAGAAAAATAAAGTTTAAAATAACTTTATTAATAAAAAATAGTCAAAATAACGCGAAAAGCAAACAAACTGTACAGAAGAAAACACTTTTAATATTCTTTTACAAGAATATTAAGATAAACGTAACTTATTTGCTAATGACACAACGGCTGTGTAAATTGACGTTCTATCTTGACGTTGAAACAATTTTAATGCGATTAGTCCTTCAGCATCACAAAAACGGCCAGCAAGTGCAGCCATCTTTGAACCAGTTGAACGACCAAGCTATCAAAAAAAAAACTACGATGGAGACAGAAGTCACTGAATTTCATACACGACGTCATTCACATCGAATTCGAAGAGAGTATGAAGTTCGAATATAAACGGTTACCTTTTCCGCAACAACACTTAACGCATCTTCCCAATCACACGGTGTTAGATAGCCTACTTTAGGCGTTTTTTCTATTTCAACAAGACACATTCGACACAATTACCGGCAATCGATAATCTTTCATGATAACAATAACGTAGAATTTCAACACCAGCTTCAGCACAAGCCTAATATAAATAAATAAATAAAAAAATGATTACATTGTTTGAATTGGTAACTTAAAAAGACTTGCTTGAAGAACAGTGGTATTAGGCTTAACATTAATTGATTTACCATCTACAGATACTTCAAGTTTTTCCGGTTCTTTTTTTACTGGAGCCGTCGATTGATTAGCATCAGAAATATAGCCTAAACAATAAAGACTTATTTGAGACTTTATAGATGAATGATAGTCAATGTATACCATGCTGTTTAATTCGACTCAATGGTATAATCAAACGATTGAGTTGCAAACGATTCATTCGATAATTTAAATATCTGCAAAAAAGTCCAAAAAGTATCTAATTTATATAATCGTTTAAGAACCTGTTGACAATTAATTAAGTTTGAAAATATTGATGAAAACTAATCTCTTTTTAATAGCCACAGGGATCATTTAACGTCTTTCTATAATAACATTTAACTTTGAATAGTATTGAGAAAAAAAAGGATTTTAAGCCACATTTTTGAAATGACATCTTTTTTAATAACTACAGAATTAAAACATTCTTTTCACTTGCAATTTTGCGTAATATATACCAGATCAAAATAGTTACGAACTGTTTTTAAAATTAAATTTATAATCTTGATCATTCTTCTCAGTTATTAACTACATAAATAAACGAAAAATAAATTCATAATATTCATCCGATTTTAGTAATGCATTCTATGGTCTTTTAAAATGTGTTTATTTCTTAATTCGTCGTTATAGATTTCTAGTTCGAGAAAAACAACAATTTCGGAGAAAGAAAGAAATGAAATACCAATAAACAAATTCATAATAATAACATGTAAAAAATTAATGATATTATACAAGAGTATGAAAAAAAAAACGAAATAAAAACAATTAAAATGAAAACGAAAGTATCATTGTTCATTTTATTTTCAATCAAGATAAAGAAATCACAGAGAATAAAACAATGGTATTATTTTTTATATCAAATATCAGCTGAACATTATTGCACGCAAAAATATATAACGAAACAAACAATAAAAATAGCAATAACTTGATTAATAACAAATAAATTCTAAACATTTTCACTAATAGATACCGTTTCTTTCTTCCTGAGTCGTTATTTAAAAAAAGTTTGAGTATTAAGACAGGAAGAGAAAGTAAAAACAAAAAAATAAATTATCTTTTCAAAATAACTTCGCCTGTGAAAGAATACAAAAAAAAATATCGATGTATCGTTTAAGTAGATGTATTGTTCAATGTCCGTTTCCAATGCCAAGTCAGTCTTGAATCTGCTTCATCACATTTATCCATTATAATATGTTTATTATCGTCAGATAGTGCCATACACAATGATGACACTTGATGAAATAATTGACCATTCTGAAGAGAGAGAAAAAAGATTATTCTTTATTGATATGAGACATAATTTTTTTTTACAATTAAATTCACCTCCTTATAAACCCAATATTGGTTGCCTTTCATACCATGACCTAAATAATTAGAAATTTTTAATAAACTTGTATTATACAGATAATGGCAGATACATACATGGATAAACAATAATTGTATCATCTTTTCCTGCTTGATGTAGACCACCTGAAAAGTCTAAACAACCATCGTCTCGTCTTATTTCACCAAGTTTTGACAACATAAAAAATTGATTTCCTCCTTGAGAGTGACAGGGATAACCGATCACAGGTTTATGATAATTTTTATGATCTGTACTTCCATCCACACAATAGCTGGCAGCTGCATTACGAATCTATTAAAAATAAAAATAAAAATTATACATTTTTTTTTCTTTTTTATCACATTTGAATAAACGACGTACATCTCCTGATGCAATAGCATCACCCGGTATAAATTGTTCGGGATATATATTCTCCAAAAACCATTTAAATGATTTACATCCTAGTTTTTGTCTTAAAAGTTTTCTACTGGTAACATCACCATATTCACCCTATTAATTAAGAGATAAAAATGATATCATAAAACAAGTGGAACAATTGAACATATTACTATCTTACCAAATCATAATTAAATCTTTCATAATAATATTTTTTATAATCGTCTAACCATACTTCGGCAACACGAACAGCATTTTTTTTCACAACATTAACACCTGGTAACCATTTATATGGAGAACGTTTTCGAAATATGTGACCAACATGTGAACATGGTGCAGTGACTAATTCTCCGCCACACATCCAAATCTGTTTAAAACAAAAAAAATGAGGATAAATAGTCTAATTTCTTTTTTTAAAATTTTTGATTAATAACTTACTCTAAATGACATTTCAAGATTTTCTCCACCTACAATGAATGATGAACAAATGATCGATGAATAGTAACAGTCAATGAAAAGAAAAAACATACCCCAGATATCCATTCCTGCATCATAAGTACCACTCTCTTCAAAGTAAATTCGACTTATTGCAAACAATCCACCTGCCATTGTAGGAGTTCTAAAAATAAAACCATTGACACTATATGTGAATATTTAAAGTATAAAAGTCTACTTTATATACCTCACTGGATCTAATTCATGTTTTCTTCTCTTTTTTTCACTGTCTGGAACAGCATGCCAATTAAATTGTAAATTCCAACTATAGATGAACAAAAAACAAATTATTAAAAATTTTTAAAAGAAAAATAGAAATCCTTACTCAAAACCACCAACACTTAAACTTGATACGGCACCATAATTATATTTGAATGTTGTATCATCGATAACATCGATGACCGGCGTGACTACAGTTGATTTATTACGTGCTATGGGATCTAATAATGGTTCCAACCAACCTGTTAATAAAGAACAAAACGAAACTAATTATGAAAATGTATATCCTAGAGTAGTGACGTAGAAATTGAAATACCTTCTGTTGCTTCGATGTGTGAATCTAAGAATACGATAACATCACTTTTAACAACTCTTGCTCCAGCTAATCTCGAACGAATAAGACCTATGAAAAAGAAAAGAAAAAAAGTCAAAATTCAAATAACATTTATGTTATTTAAAATAGATCAATTACCTTCACGCTTTGGTTGTCGAACAATAACTACTTTTTTAAGTGGTGCAATATAGTCATCCAAGGGTTTTTTCAAGTGATCTAAAAACAATGATTAAACTCTTTTAGAATTCATTTTATATTCTTCTATAACCATAACATACCCATATCGGAAAAATCATCTACAAGAATAATTTCTTGCAATAAATGTGGCTGACTTCTATCAAGAATCGAGTGTATTGAACGTAGTAGTACATTCCATGCTTCATTATGAAAACACATGACAACAGATGCTGTTGGCAAATTATTTAAATATTGCATTTTTCTACATCTACAAGTACAACAATACATAATAAAATTTAGTAAACAACTTGATGTACAAAACATACCCAGGATCTCTGACATCTGGTAAACTTCGATGTATTGATATCAAATCACTAATATATTGATTAAATGCGTTAAGTTGAAAACCATTATCATATTTTTGACGTTCGTCTGGTGGTAACTTTTCTTTATCAACCTAAGAAAAAAAAAAGAAAGCAAAAGCCCTGTTTAAAGATGTTTCCAGTTAGAAATAGAACAAAAAGAAAGCATTCAACATTCTTTTTACTCACCTCAAAGGGTTTGCCCATTTCTCCTAAAATAAAAAATGAAATACATGCTAAAAAAAGAATATTCTTTACTATTAATTCAAGCATTAAAATTCCTTCACGTCTCTTCACTCTATCCTAAAACTCGAATTCTTTTTATTTTCTGATTTTGACAGTTGAATATATAGTTTTCCACGCAATTTATGATATCTCAACTAATCTCGCACTTCTCTCATGCCGTTTTAAATGATAGTCTTTTGTCGAATCTATCTGAGTGATATCAGTTCAAATATGAATATTAGTTTTCTTTTCTTCTTTTACTGTCAACTGTGGACTTCTTCTTAACTGTCATAAGGGTTACAAAGCACTATCGATCAATGTCAACAAAACTTCTGTTCTAGATTCTTAACAAAAGCTTAGACAATGGAACATTCGGATAGTAGCCAGTCATAGTGTGCATCCAGGCAGATATTTAGCGAAAAATTGAACGTGTATTTTTTCCAAAGTGAGAGAAAATACACTTCAGAATATGCTCTAGCGAAGGAATCTCTTTTTTTTGAGTGTGAACGTTCGAAAATACCTTCGTACCTTTAATACGATCTAAAGATATATCAAAATCATCGTCTTTGTATAGCGTATCTATAGTGCATGCAAAAAATATGTTTTTTTTTCTGGACCTGAATACGAGGTTTTAAAAAATCTTGGTTTTTGGGGTAAAATCTAATTTTCTCAGTCCAGGAATATTTGTATTAAAAACTGAGGCCATATTCGGCCTCATTCTAACTCAAAAACTACCATTTCTTATGATGAAAAAGTTGATGTCCACCAGCCTACTGGAAAATGTTCAGTGTGCCAAATGAAAAAGGAATTCTTTTAACACCTGTTCTTTTACGCTTATATAAGTGAGATTAAAAAAGAACAAGAACATCGTAAAATGCTGATAATTAGCAAAAAAGAAGTAATGCTGTTGAAACTTTAAAAATACCCGTATTCCTACTAGAACAAGTCGTTCTGATAAGTATGAATGAATAATATGCAAAAAAAGCCAAAATGCAAATTCGTTCTCTCTTCGTCTTCTCTCGTATTCAGCGTTATCGATTAGGAGGTGGTAGGAGGTGGCATACCACCCCCTCGTTTGGATACAGTTACTCAAAAAATTTTGACTTACTCAAATTTTTTAAGAAATTTAAGTAGAGAAACTGCCTTTTCTAATCTGCCTGAGTAAGAGATTTTTTCCAGCTTCTGAGTTTGATCAAAAAATGCGTTTACTCAATGAGAAACTTTAGTTACTCAGCAGGCTCGCCACCCCCCGCCAAAACTACTATCGAAAACACTGCTCGTGTTTCAGAAATCTAAGTTAATATTACGTTAGATAGATCTAACTTAAATCTCAAAGCTTAAGACAAATTTAGGTGCTTCTACAGAATAATGATACCGTGCATTCATTGTAGGTGTTAGTGAGAGTGAGAATATGATCGTTCTATAGAAGGATCGAAACTGTCTTAAACAGGAATACCTTCCTACCTGGTCCATCAGCGTCATGTTTATCGATTTGTGGTGCGGCAACTTGTTCGTGTTTGTCGTGTACGTCACGATTTTCATTTAAAATGCCATTGCCACTTTGATTACTAAAGTTTTTCAATGCTTTTTTAATATTTGGCGTTTCAGCCTTAAGATCGGCTCCACCGAATGCGTCTATATTATCTGCATGTCGTCCTGCAGGATGAACCGGTTTATTTTCAGTGACTAATAACGTATTTTTGTTATCATCATCTGTGTGTAATAGACCTAACATAATAATTAGCCATACAAATGGAATTAAAACAATAAGACGAAACACTAAATAGCGAACTTTCATATTCATCATTTTGTTTCAATTCTATCGCATTCATACGAAGAATAAATAGATATAAATACAATACTGGAAATAATATCGAAAATTATTGACAAAGAGTTCTAGTAGGGATGTATAGTCGAGCCTTGAGGATGTTGTTGTTGTGATGGCCAACGTTGAAACTGCTGTTGTTCTACTGTGAGCATGAGAATTTAAAGGAAATGGAAGAAAACTCTAAAAAAGAAAATATACATAGCAAATTTGCCAAGTGTATAAGACATTGTGCTTTTTCTTCTTTACATCAATAATCTTATACAAGTCATAAATTATTTAATAGCAAAAAAGAGAACGAACGTGCTAATATCATAAGAGACACAAGAAAACAATGTTGTACCGAAAAAACCAGGTGGAAGGAACGAGAGAGAGAGAATGAGGAGTGAATAAATCGTACATCAAAAGAAAGAAATACTGTGATAAATAAACTCTATGTGTGAAATATATTCTTGATATGCAAAAAAATGTGAAAAATAAAGTGGAATGATGCAAAACGATTTCAGAACCATTTGTATATTATAATCTCATACAAAAAACACAAAGTCGGATATAAGGTATTAGACAATTGATCATATCTCTAACACATATGTCTTAAATTAACTTGTTCTAAAAAAAACAAAGATCAAAACTGTCTCTCTGTTTTTTTTATTAATAACAAACATTCATTAATTGAAACTGAGACGTGTTCATCCTTTTTTTTTTTATCGGAACCAATCGTTGTTTCAGATTACACTGACTGATAAAAATTTTTGAACACGTTAATCTGAAAAAAGATATTGTTTTTTTAACAAGTTTCGTAATCTTCTCTACGATTTAGTCATATTAGTATCAGAAATAACTGACGAGACACAATTTCTTTTTTTCTCTTTGTAATATAATAGTGAATATAAATAATCAACTGATTATAGACAAAAATTTTACATAACCAACTACGACCGATAGCACGTATTTTATGTCATGTCATAGATGTAAACTATACATGGTACAAAACGATCATCGAATAACTGAAGAAAAAGGTAATGTTTAGCGATGAAACTAACTTTGATTAAAGTTAAACTGTTACTCTAATAAATTACATACAGACTCGACTGACTATACTAGACTTATACTAGAAAATATGAGCGCATTTGAAATATTATATATATTTATATATATATATATCGTTTTTAAAAATATCCGAAAAAAAAGAGGAATGTTAAAACTTTTTTAAGAGCGTTGGGTAAAAAAGAGGAAAAGTGGAAACATTTTTTTGGCCAGAAAACGGTACTAACAATGTTGTGTACACGTCAAAGTGGCTTAAGGCTCTCAAAGAAAAGATTTCATCCTACTTAATATATTTTTTTTCTGTGTTTCGTGAGTAAAAAACTAAGAAAAACACAGCATAAGAGAGTTATTTTTATTTAAATGGTGAATGTAGATGAACTTTGTGATAAAGTTGTGGCTATATGAGACGAAGATACTGGAGAAACGAATGTGATATTTTCTTTCAATCTCTGATTTTTTCACGGTATTTATCTTTCTTCACATGTTGTACTATCGACTGTCATCTTTTGTTCCGACAATCTAATTTGCCCGTTTTACACAATGTACATACGAATGTTGATTCCTTAGCATCTCGCTTTAACCATCGTCTCACAGGGACTTCATCTACTGTTTTCTGTAACCATGAATGATTGAATTTTGTTTCATATGACGGCATTGATAAAAAAATATATCTGAACCTACTCTCAGATCTAAAAATAGCGTGAATTCTGGTATTTTAGTTAAAAAGAGGAGAGGTCTTGAATTAACGAGGAAAGAAGAGGAAAAGAGGAGCATTATGAACCCAGCTAACATCCCAGAACGACATGAGCTACATGCTACTAAACTCTCAGTGTGCGATTACTTTTATATTCACAAAATTTTGAAGTTAGAGAGATGTTGACGTTCGGATGACTGCTAGTGTATGTGTGTTAGTGACTAGGTTTTGGCTGTGAGTAGCTGATATTAAGTATCTATTTGAATATTATTCGCTGTTAGTATAATCAACTCGACAAGCTCTATATATTGGTTGTATTAGATTTTAATTCAGAACTATTATTGAGTCTTACTATTAGTGGGTCTTAGAGTATTTTACAAATACTCAAATATTTCTCATAAGATTCTTTCACTTTCTTTGTCAGACACATTTGTCACGTTAAAAATGACAAAGTACTTCGAATATGCCAAGATATTTTTAAAGAGCAGTTGATGCCATCAAGCATGCATACAAACAAGAACTAATTTTAAATATTACCTTGTAAGAAATCTATGTGTGTAACAGACGTACAAAAGTAGAAACCTTTAGATACACCTCTTAACAAACATAGATAAACCAATAAAAAACAATTGGGTTGTATTAGAATAATCAGTTCATCACTATGAATAGGACGGATGTACGAACAAAAAAATACATTATCACTTGTCATGGTTGACAAGTCTGCACACGAGGGTGTTTATAAAACACTTTTCTTTAAACTGGAATAGCTCAACAGAAAACATATTAAATATTTTATGAAAAAGAAGACTAAAGTACGAATAATAAATGTTCATGTAGGTCAATTATAGAATTTAAAACCAAAGAAAAAAAAGTACACGTGTAACGCGTACAATAAAAGGTATAAAAAAGAAAACATATCAAGGAAATAGACATGCGTAAATGTCAAAAGAAAGAAAATTATTTGTTTATACCTTACTTTTTGCAATGTTGTTATGGATCAAATATTTTTATTTTCTATTTTTCTTTTTCTAACTCTTCTTTATGGATAGTTAGAAGAAATAGAAAATAGTCTAGTATTTAAACCATCTCTATTTTATCTTAAGAAAAAGGTTTTATATTTTATTATATTTTTTTTGTGTTTAAGAACAAAAGCAGAAACAGTAGTTTAACATTTTTCTATGTGTTCTAATATCATCATATTGAGCAAAAAAAAAGATGAAAGAGAAAATACGTTGGGAACTAAATGAATAATTTTAAAAATTAAAATAAAATATCTTTTTATTTAGACATCATCATTCAACCTGGATTATATTTGAAACTGACAAACATGGTTAACTATTTATTCTAACTCTTTAATTCAAATAGGAAATTGTTCTGATACCAAATGAAACGCATAGGAGAATAGTCAAATATCCACGTTTATTCACAATGGGCGAAGTTTGTATTCAAATGTCTATATAGTCATTTGTTTTTTAAACGAGTTGATAAAAAGCAGATTTTATTTTGATTGAACATAAATGAGTTTATAATTCCTTTGTTTCATATCAAATTTAATAGAAAATGAAAATAATAAAAAAGCATGTTCTACCACAACTTTCTTCATCTTCTGTTAAGAAATCTAAATTAAATATTATAAAATGTTATACTATTTTAGAGTAGTTACCATCCATCTTTAAAGAATCACATACGTTTTAAAATATAAGATTCTTCAAATTTAATTGTGTGACCTCTTATGAGTGAAATAGTCAAAAAGATGTCAATTTATTTTTGATGTTCTAAATATTTATATCCATGATGATATCTATAATTTATATCCTGAATACTTACAAATATATTTGATATTATTTATCTGACAAGACGAATCAGGAGTACGTCAATACTTTTTGAGAATTTAGCACAAATTTTTCCTTAAAATTTACAGTAATACATTTTCAAACAATTTTTTTGCGTATAACTCCTCGAATATTTCATTTTCAGCCGTGTTAATTAATTCTAAAATTATAGATCTTTTTATATAAAACAATTTTAAAATCAAATTTGATTTTAAAAATTAACAAAGAAAACAGAAAAAAAAATCGATGGAACGCTGCCATTTTGGTCCGTCGGCTAGATAAATCACTGGTGGACAGAGATGGGTGGAGATAGTCAAATATTCACTTCTATTCACAGGTGAAAGTACAGATCAAAAACATTGAAACAATTATCTACATGATGTCCAATCATGAAGTCTAACTCCAGAGATAAATTCTAACATTTAGAAGATATGTGTACTCACCATAAATGGAAATATTTTTGAGGCAACTATTTTTAGTTAGTACAGTTATAATCATTGTTACAATAAACTCACCTCATCTATCTACATCAAACAAAGTTGTAAATATGAACGACTATTTCTATCGTAAAGTATAAGGTAGGTCAAGGCAGTAGGATTATGGTTTTTTTTTCTTCTTTTTGTTTTCTCTTCTCTTATTTCTGCAAATATGTTCTTGATCAATATAATAGATTAACAACTTTTCTTTTGTTAAAAAAAGAAAATGAGAGAAAAGAAGGAGCTTATCGTTGTCTTTAGAAGAACAATTATCGTCTTTGTGAAGTGATCTATACCCTATGATATTAATATACTAACAGGAAGTTTTAATGAGGTACGTAAGAAAAAGAGAACAGAACAGCTGACACATTCAATTCTCAATTTATTGTAAAGAATTTTGAACATAAAAACTGTTCGATAATTGTAATATTATACTTAAATTCATGGACAATTATTATACAATCAAGAATACCATAATAAAGCAAAAACATTTAATTATCAAATCAAACAGTCGTTCAATGAAAATACAGAAAGACATGATTTTTTTTTTGATTTTTAAAATAAATTTTATTTTGATATAAACATATTTAGTTACATAATTAAATATCTTAGTTTAAAATAAAACACAATATAAATATGTTTAGCCAGAAAAACAACCGAAAATAAAATCAACATATATATCTTTCAAATAAAATAAAAATAATAAGCTAATGATAGAATATGATCATTCAATACGAGATTTAAGCAGAAATAAACTTTACCCAGTAAAAATCAATAGCCAGATGTGTTCGTTAAGTTTTGCGAAAATTTTTATTGAAAAAGATGTTTTTATCACATGATGCTTTCAGCCTGATAATTGAATGCTCTATTGTCACGTTTAAACAACTATTTATTTCTTTTCTTTCTTGCACAAAAGAACGATATACATATTTTATTTTCTACTTATTAAATGAATAGCTTGGAAAAACTTTGTACTCTTGAGAAATTCAACATCACTACTGAAACAATTATGTCTATGAGTGAAATATTATATCCCAATAATTATTTAACAATTTGCTGAAAGACTATAAATAGAATAAATTAATTAAAAGTATATTTTATCCAATATCTTGAATTGTTGGTGGTCTCAATGTTGAATTTCTAATAATACAATCTTTCATCCAATCGATACTTTCATTAATTCCATCACCTGTTATTGCTGAAGATGCTAATACCATACAATCTCGAACACCAACACTTTGTATTGAACGATTAAATAAACGTTTTATTTCTGGTACAGTCATACAATCATCTAAATCTTGTTTATTGCACGATAATAACAATGGTACATTTATTAATTGTTCTGATTGTAACATACGATCAAATGCTTGCCATGATTCTTCTAAACGTGTTCTATCAGCGGAATCGACAATATAAATAACACCATGACAATCGGCATAATATTTATCCCATAATGATTGTAATTCTTCTTGTCCACCTAAATCCCAAAAATTTAATCGAACACGACCAATATCAATTTGACCAATATTACAACCGACTGTAGTCGTTATTTTTGATGAATTCATCATTTTATAATTTTTACAATATTTTGTTTTTGTCTGTTCTAAATATGTTGTTTTTCCAGCATTATCTAATCCAACAATTAGTATATAATAATCATCTTTCTGGAACAAATATTTGCCTAGACCAGATATCAAAGTGTACATAATTTTAATTTTGTCGATTATTTGATCTTAAAATACATATCTAAAACTAGGGAAATTGGGTTAGTTCGTTTATTGAAACAAAAAACCATTTTACATCGGAGAAAAAACGTGAAACTCATGTTTTTAGTTTTTGAAAACTAAACTGAAAATTCTTAGAATTTATTATGTTCTTCGGTATTATTGATCGCTTATCTACACAGAGATAAGACGTAAATGGGCGAAATACGTTCAGTACATCAAATTGCAGTAAGATTTTCAGCTCTTGACTAGTTTAGATGTATTTGGTCATCTATCATGCGACTAAACTGGTTTTTATCATTAAAACCTTTTTCTGTCGAATATATTTGTTTAATATTGAGTAATTTTAAGTACTTTTGTATACAGATTTGTACGGGCACATTGCACGAAGTAAATAACAGACCACATACAGGAACTGAAATTGTCGAAGTTTTCATTAGATTTTGTACTATGCGACGACTGTAATTGTAGGCTATTATTGTCAAAAACCTCAAAATCTTTGAGAAAAGTTTAAATGTCCTTGTACTGAAAAATGGAATACACGCTGAACACATTATAAATTGTAAACAAGACTTGATAGGACTATAAGTTATGAATTGTTAGTTTATTGCACGCTTGAATCTAATGGGGTAGTGTCGTTATAATGTATCGCTACTAATCTGTTGTTTGCTCAAATTTCAGCCGAAATTGGCACCGCTTGGAATCAAAGAATATATAAATAATTTGTTAAGCATTAGAAGGTAAACCGTCCTATAGGGTGTAGCATTATGCTATTAGAATGATTCAGTATCGAAGTAGCAGTACCATTGAATGGTCTTAGCTCTATGAACTGCAACTTTCATCTCAGTGGCGAATCTAGAATTATTTTTGAGTACGCGTAGTCTTTAAAGAAATATAATTTTTCGAGGCAGTTCTGCTGTTTCAAAAATTATATTTTGTTTAAAAGATACATGTTGTAGTATGCATCCTGAATCTGTTTCATTTATACCTTATTTCTTGAAAAATATTTCATTCCGTTAGTAAAGCAATTATGTTGTTTTCTCATGGCCATGAACGAAAGATACAGCTCGGGTGAGGTTCGTCAGTAAGCTTCTCTTTGCTATGAACCAGTAATTATGAACATTTAAATCGAAACCTTTGCTTCAAGAGTTACCAAACTGTACAGTGAAATCTTCTGCTATCAACGGTTGCAAGTGGGCCATTGGTGATTATTGAGCAAATAAGATTGGTTTGACATAAGACAAAGCTTTTGTCGCTATAATCAACTAATCGAAGTGAGAACATGTTGAGTTTACGTCTGAAATGTATTCATAATAACCATCACAGTGTCTAAAAATGGCTGTTTATGATGGTTTAATAACCGTCCTTAAGGTGTTTTTATGGAAACCACTTCATCAATGGCGGTACAAATCATAGATGAGATCTTTCTAAGAAACTCTTTCTTTGGCCTTGTTTGTTGCTCTGAAGTTCAGCATGTTGATTGTGTGTTTCCTGAAAAGAGTTTCTGTAGCCTAAAGTGTATCTAGTTAGAAGTGTAAGAATTTCATTTCGTTATTCATTTTCTCTATAAAATATATGTACAAATGTTTTAGATAGACTTTTCAGCATTAAATACAAGAGTGCGATTCCTGTTTAATCTAAGCTGAACTTGTCTGATACTTCTGTTCTCATAGGAATTGTAATAAAAAATTATACTATATAGGGCAATAGAACGAGACTTGTTCGGAAACCGAGCTAGTATAACATCGCCGAATGCTTAAAAAATCCTTAGATATCGTCTGGAAAAGAATTACAGGACCATCGGAAATTCAGAATACATAAGAGAACTCTTCCCACTGATCGTGATATTTCATATGAAATAAAAGGTCCAGTGTTCCGACTTTACTACACTGTTTTTCTGATTGTACTTAGATCAAAAGAAGAAACTTCATAAAAGTATCCAGTACGCACAATTCTATCCATTTCCGAAAGATAAGAAACCTGTAGGAACTTTTTGGAGACAGTTTAGGATTCTTTCAACTTTAGATGAACCTATAAGGACTATAATGGGGTGTGCCGATTGCGGATAGTAAAATTTTCTTCTATAAACCTTCCCGAATAGAAAATAATCTTGACAATATCTTCAAAAGAAAAAAAGACTTGTTTTGTACCCGCTAACTATTGTGTTCTTTTAGACATTATATATTTCCGCTGAGTGAGGTCTGAGTGCGATAATACAACGAAACAAGTATCCAAAATGTCCTACATCGAACATACAGCCAAAAATCCTTTACCAAGTCAAAACTGGAGTTTTCAAACTCCAATGAGTGATGAAAATTTCGAACGTTTGCAGCGTGCAATTGTACACGTATGTAATCGCTTAAATTATTCGGTCCAAGCGAGCGATTAGTGCTCACAATAATCGCAGAGCGTTTGTAATGCAGACCCTAATCGATGAGCAAGAAAAAATACTTTGAATGTAGAAAAACAAGAAATAAAACTAAAGTACTGAAAACAAGATTTGTTTGACACTTTTCTGATAACTCATCAATCATTAATATCTACAGTATTCGTAAACAAAAACGAGAGGATACGCTTTTGTCATGAGTGAAACGCATAATGTTAAGTATTACAAAAAAGGGAAAAAATTTGTCATATGTTGCTACTGTATTCTAATTATGGTTTTATAAGTTTGATTCAAGAAATGCAGTTCCAGAGAGTTATGATGAAGATACAGAGTTTATTATTATTAAGAAAAAGAGGATGATTGATGATTCCACTCATTTTGTTTCATGGTAATATACGCAAGTATTTCACGTCGATTAACAAAATTTTGATTATTTTATCACTTGATCAATAAAATGAAGCAGTTTTTCTTTCACTGTGGATCGACAGATGGCATTGTGATGTTGTATAGTTCTTGGAACTATTCTTGTTTCGTCGACAACTCACTCTCACACCGCCCCTCCCGCCTCTGATGTTCTCTGATCTACATTCTTTGAAGTGGCCGATTTGTCGACGAAACGAGAATACCCCAGTTCTTGTCTTCCAGTTGTTGTTGTTTTTGGATAATCATCCATCACAATGAATGCTTATCTGTATTCATTTTCTTGACAACAGTGACTAGCTAACGATGGTCTGTCATGTCAGCAAGTCAATATGTGTTTGTTGAATGTCCTCTAATCCAATTGACTACGTTTCCTAATCGTTTTATTTTAATAATCACGAATTAACCATAAAGTATAGTAACCTTTCAATTTTTCATCATTCGATGAATTATCAGTAAACTATAAACAAAAAATAATGGTGAGAGAGATTGCCTTCTAATTGAACGATGAGTTTAGATGTTTAAACTGATTTAGAAAATGTGAATTGTATTATTCTCAACAATCTCGGAGCGAAATTATATGCACCGATTAGAGATTAGTTGTGTACAAGTTATGCTTTCTTCAGGATCGTAAATAGGAAGTCAACTTTGGGGGTGTAATAAAAAAATTTTCACTGTGCGACCAAAAATAATGAAAAAAATTTTAATATCCACTGGGAGGAAAGGACAAATCTTTATTTTGGGGGGGGTGTACATTCCCACTCACTCACACCCGCAATTTAAGGGCCTGGTTTTCTTTAGAGTTTTGTTGAATGATAGATAAATAACACATTTCTTAAATTTCGTCGAAAAAAGTTGAAAACTGTGCAGAAATTAGCCTTCTATTGAGTATATCCAAATTCTTGTTATCTTCATCATGACTGATTGAAATGATGTTTTTGAAAAATGTTGGTGTGTGTTAGAGCTCTGCAGGTTCGACCTTTTGACAACCTATAACCTAACCTACAAAGCTCGTAACATAAACTAACCTAACCCAGGTTAACCTACTATAACCTGTGCAATTCTTTCTCAAAACCTGGTTTCAGAAGCCCAAACTTCAGCTTTGTTCCAAATTTTTGTTGTTTCTTATCTAAACAACATCTGATAGAAAAGCTTATACAAAATAAAATACATTTTAACTGAATAAAGAAATGAATCGGTTGAGTTTTTTATTTTTTAATGCAACATTTGGAAAATAGCTTTCTGAGTAGGGGAACCCTCTTAAGAGTAGACCAGAATTCCACTTTAGGCTCTCGGCGCTACAAAGGTTCTGTTATTGCTGTGTATTCGCCATCTATTTTTAGCAAACGTAAGTTTTTTCTCTGTACTTCCTTTTTTGATTGTGCCATTTTTCAGTTTAAACTAGAGCATCTCAGTCTGAACTTTATCAATTGAGCGATAAAGCTCCACTTAAACGGTTTCAGAGTTACATCGTTCGACTAGTACAAGTAAATGTTGGAGCGATCGATCAATGCTAAGCGAAAGTGTGAAAAAGCATTAGCTCGTGTCAAGAGAGGAATATCTGGTATTGTTTGTAACAGCCATTTGACCTAATAAGACTACCCTTTATTACTCAAAGTATTCGCGATTTTAATGTAGTCATTCAAAAAATCGATTATTTTCATTTAGATTATAAATAGGTTATCAATACCGTAACCTAAACCGAGGCTATAAAAAATTTCATAACTTAAATCTAGCCTAATCTATAAAAATCGTAACCTAAACCTGCAGGACTATAGTGTGTGTGTGTTAAACTTTTCTTAAAGTCTAGTTAGCTTCAAACATGAAAATTTCATTGTGATAATATTATTCAAAGTAGTATTACGAAAACTAACTAGCAGGTAAAAAAATTCTAACGTAACTTTCTTAAATAAATATCAGAGATTATGTAAAATATCGTTACAGTGTAAAAAATCAAGTTTGATCACTTTTAAACTGTAAATTTAATTTTAATATGATTTTTAGGAAACATCTGACCCAGAAAAGAAACTCGAAATACTCTACCATTCGAGAGGTTTTTTCAGCGGAGAGCAGGTATACCACGATAGTTTAAAATATTATATATGACATAAATTGACTCGTGTTTAGGCAGGACATATAGTATCATCGATCTCAAGACCAAAAGATCGTATCAAAGCTATTATGATGATGGAACCGGTAAAGAATGTTTTTGATGTTTTGTTTGTATTACCATTGTGAATTATTATTTAGCGTTTAATACCGATGACGTGTCAACAAGCGAGACACATTCTTGCATCGATAACTGTTCATAATGATCGACTTGAGGCCTTACAATACGTAAAAAGGTATATTTTTTTCGATAAAGTCTTTTAAAATTACATTGTATTTTTTTCTGTTTAGAGCGCTTAACGATGCTCAAACACAGGAGGGACATGATTATATTCTTAGTGTCTTCCCATTTTTTGAAGATAAATTGAAAGCAGGCAGCATTCTTGAAACCGTAAGAAAACAATTAGACTGGTTTTATTTTAATATATTAATGTTGTACGTCATCTAGGTAATTGCGCGAGAAGGTGTTCGAGTTGCAGCAGGTAAAATCATGTAATAATTACAACTATGCAGGGCTGATTTTTATAACTTATTTTAATTTTTAGGTGGTCATATTGGATACGGTGCAATCGGCAGTACAGTTGTACGGGCACCACCATTGAATCCACATTTCTATGGTTTAATATCGAATCAGGTTGCGCATTTGCCGGTAAATTTATACTTTTATTTTTTCTTAACTTGTTCGTTAAATAACTCTTTTATTTCTTTAGAATCATACTCAAGATTCCTTTCAAGTACGAGAACTTTTTGCTGCCAAACCTCCATCAATTTATACTTTTAGTGAATCATTTTTACCGCCGACAAGCGATAGAGAACAACGATATGAAAATTTGTATAATCCAAAATCTCTTCCATCAAATCAATATGCAATGAGTGGTGCTGCACCAAATCATATTTATCATTCAGGTGGACCATTTTCAACTGGTTATGCAAACTTTCAGCCAACAACAGCTGCAAATGCATGCGATATTACACCACAACTCTGAAGAAAAAAAAAAAGATTGCATTAAATTCAAAAATACTGGCTCATTTTATATTAAATCGACAAGATCCATGCAATGTTTGCCCATGAGAACGCCTTTGATGAATAATAAATAAAATATGAAAAATAATAGATATTTTTTGCCTCACATTTTTTTGCTCATAGGTGAAACTATTTTTGTAAGTTAAATTTTTTTTTCTGTCTGATATTGCTTCAATATCATTATATGCCTTATTTATTTTCGTTTAATAAATTATTGGAAAACACTTTTGAAGATAATCTTGCTCACATAATAAAAAATAGTGATTATTATCTCCATGTAAAATTCTACTATTGATACTGGAATTTAAATACTAAGAAAAATTGGCATTTAATAGTTCTAATATTGCTGTTTTTGAACATAGAGGAGCTTACACAGCTAACATTTGCCTTAAGCTAAGCACAAGTTCAATATGTACAGTACGTACGGATTGAAAATACAGATAAGAAGTGATACATACAATAACATTCATGTGTTGACACACATTAGTTACAAAATGCAAAGGTAAGTGAAATAAGACCAATATTCAGATAATCTAAATTTTCCTCTAAATCTACTACTATTAAATTTCCAAAAGTTGATTAACGAAAATCAATGTTCACAAATTTCCATAATATTCGTGAAAATTTTCAAAAAAACTCATTTTTCTATAGAATAGTTATCTTTGCTCAGATCTTTAACAGATTTTCAGAATGTTCAAACCTCTACAACTTGTTTGCTTTGAATCACTAAACAACAAAAGTCAAAAAAATACGATTAAAATTTAAGATTTTTTTTTGTTTCAAGTATTGGAAAAAAAGAAAAATGAATCTACAAAAGAGTGTTTTTTTGTTGATGACAATTTTTTTTTCTTTTTTTTTGTATTCGTAATATATTGTTGTTGTATAGGAGAAAAAAGTGAAACAACGAACTGTGAATTGCTATCAACCAATTTTAAATGAACAAAAGAGATTTTTATATTAGATGAAACATAAAAGTAAATTGTTTTTTTGTCAATCGTTTATATTTCTATAGCTATCGCCTCTTATTGTTTGAATATAAAATTTGAATATGACTTGTAAGAGTAAATCAAGACTAGCCTTATATAACATATAACTCGTCTTTTTTCTAGTTGACAATACAAATTTTGATTCAACATATACAAATGGATTTCATGGACCACAACGTTTTGGTCAACGAAGTGCCAATATGTTTTTTGTTCGACCAGCACGTCATATAGCTTGTCCAAGACGATTAAAATATATACATGGTAATCATTTTGGATCATTTTGAGACATTTTATTTATGAAGATAATGTAATCTATGGAATAATGTCTTTTTTCCATTAGATATCAAGGATTCGTACATTCCATATGTTGAAGAAGATGTAATGAATGAAGATAATATGAGAAGAAGAAATTCACAAAAACGAAATACTTTATCTGATGAAAATGCTGGTCTATGTAAGTTTTTATTTGACTATACTTCCTTTATACACTAAAAAAAAGATTACGTATATACTATATCATGTTAGATCTCACAAATGTACGACAACAACAAATTCTTTTTAGATAACACAGCAGATATTTGGAGACAAGAACTCATGCAACTTGCTCAACAAGTGCAAACAAATTTTGGTTTAGAAGAAAATGCAACAGCGAAACAAACATTGAACAACAGACGAAAAAGTCATAGTACAATGTCATGTTACAGTAGTGTCGATGATGGACATAAATTACGAAAACAACGTCTGTTAGGAAAACGACAGAGTAGTCGACAGAGTAGTCAACAAAGTAATAATAGTTTGACAAGAGTTCGAACAAGTATCGATCGGGAATCATTCAAAGGGGAGAGTGTTCAAGAAGAAAATCATGATGCTGGAATCTGGGTAACATTTTCACCATCACTTGTTTGACGACTTTGTATATTTTGCATGTGTTCATTGTTGTAGTTGTTGCCATTGTTATGTTACGTTTTACAAACAGACAATATAACAGATGCTCAAAACTGGCTTGTCAGTGCAAATAATACAGGTCTAAAACAGTATAAATAAAGTAATAGAGTTCCATGGCTATTTTATTTAACAGAAAAACGTTTAGCAATGGAATTAATTAAACGAACAATGCAGGATCTAAATCAGGAAAATACAACAAATGACGAAACAACAAAAGCTTCACAAATGGCATACATCTCAGACTTATTCAAGTAAATATTAAAAACATAAACTCGAATTTATACTGTGTTCTATCTGCATCTATTTTAGCGTTTATTGGCCCTATAAAATCCTCCAACGAAAAGAGCGTGAACGACTCTCGTCAGTACCACCATCACCACTACCACCACCACCAACAACAACAAAACAACGATCCAAAAGTGGACTCTCACTGCCATCGCTCAATCTTCAAAATGATGTTCCAACTACAAGTACATTATTAGATACTTGTGAACGAGCAACAAGTCCTGTTCGTCTTGTAACACCTAAATATCAAACTGTTGAACGTACGCCACCAACCATCGTTCCATCAAACAGCCCACGAACCCAATCCAGAAAAGTTGAGGAAATTATGTTTCCTGTTGCGGAAACTACAACACATTGTCAAAGTCAACAGACTGGTGAATACTCTTGTTGATGGTTGAATACATTAATTTACTCTCTAACCACCTTTTTATCTTAGATCGTTCAGTAACAGAGAGACCACCAACAAATCGTTCAGTAACAGAGAGACCACCAACAAATCGTTCAGTAACAGAGAGACCACCAACAAATCGTTCATATACACATTTACGACGAGTTGCAACAAGCATGGGCGGCGACAGAATCGATGGAAATACACCGTTAAATCGAGGCAAGACACCATTAATCTAAGTCACACTTAGTATTGGAATAAATCACACATTTTGTACAATTTTTTTTCATTTTTCATTTGACTATTTCAGAACATTTTAGATCTAGGTATAATTTACTAGGAATGTATGAATGATGATAAAAATATTTGATCGTTTGAGTCATTAAATTTCATCGCTATTATGGGCATTAAACTTATTTTAAATAGATCAAATATCAAACGATGATTACTAGCTGATACTGCATCTCACAGATAATCAAGGGCACGAATAGCGTGTTCTGGACAGCTCTTCTGGCAATAGTCGATTACCTATATTCCATGGCATTTCGAGATTCCCAGAGATGTCTGCTCGAAGACAAACACGCGCTCAGGGAGAGCGAACCCTGTGCGAACGACGATAGCTGGGACTTGTATAATTTTGTAGAGTAACGTCTGACTACTTACACATGCAAAAATATTACTAATATTATACGTTAGTTTTCTGAGAACGGAGCTGGTTTTCCAAAGATCCTCTGGCAAATCGGATTTCCAGAAAATTTTGAAACAACTTTCTGCTTACAAAAACATGTCTTAATGTCTTAGCAACATAATTGTGAAAGTCGCAGGTCTCTGTCTCATTCCTATCGAAAGTTATTCAACAAACATCCGTGTATCTTGACTTCTGGCGCCGATGATAAATGATTAACTCTAGTACTGAACATTCCACAAAAGAGGAAAGACTGTCTGTCGGTTTGCAGGTCTCTATACTGATGGTCAGTACGATTACACCGTTAATGCATAACAATAGCTTCGTTGAAATAAATACAAGACTACCACATGTTAAATGTATAAGTACCAGAACAGCTAATCATGTTATAACGAATGCGTGTTCATCAGAAAAAGAGAAAACAATGAACTTACGAATATTTTTTACTCTGACAGGTGGTGTAACAGTTATTGGACAAATGCCAAACGCGATTTCTCCACGCTCTCACTATTTTGAAATCTCGGTTTGATCTTGATTCGTCCCTCATATGTATGCATAGACTAAATAACATAAATTAATTATTTGCTATTAAAAATATATACAAGATTTACGAAATTTATGAATGATAGAAATTGTAATGGCCAAATGGACATTATTTTATTGTTTCTCTTGTATGTTCTCAAGTAATTGTTTGAATTTACTCTCAGTATTATTATAAAGTCTTTTTTCCAGTTAATGAAAGTAAAGTGTAAAATTTTTCGTATAACTTTTATGTACCCATATTTGATATCCGTAGATTTATAGGTTACTGAGCGTCTCTTTTAATCATCCTAGATGGTTCTAAATTGGTCAATTTCAATAATGATGAAGAAAAAACGTCGATATTGTACTGTTTGAATTGATCTTGTTCTTGCACACTATTGCAGCTGCGGATATTGTGGTTTTTGTCGATCGTCTTACAACAACAAAATATCGAGCAATAGCAGTTGAAATTTCAACGGCTGTTTTTGTAGAATAGAATTCTCAATGCTTGCATTGAAAACATTTACATTACAAACAATCAATCACTGACCACATAAAATAATATGCAATATTTGACAGCTGGTGGTTGTAGTTTACATAATATCCAATCTCTAGTGAATGTACTTGTGAGTGGATACTTGTTTACTTGCAAATTTCCATGGGTGCTTGACAATCACTTGACAAGTATTTTCAAAAAATAATACTTGATAAATGCCTGAAAACACTTGCAAGGTACTTGTTGAACCTCTTACAAGTACCTAGAGTTACTTCGGCAAGTGCTTGGCAAAGGACTTGACAAGAAGATAAAGTAATTCAAGTACATGATTTACTTGCAGAAGAGCTCAAGCACATTGGACAAAACTTGCGGGGGTACTTGACCAAGCACCTGCATGCAAGTACATTCACTAGGGATATTTATTTCATTATACGCCAAAATTGCACTCGCTGAACACGGTGCCATTGAAAAACAGATACTGGCTTGAAGAAATAAATCTTTGTATCATACAAACAAGTTTATTGCAATTCACTATAAAAGTAGAAAGTTAGACTTTTTATGTACACCTGCAAGAGGTTTGAACTATTCTTAAAACAATTATCATAGGTGAAAGAACTTCTCTTGACAGCGTCAAATGAACATTGAGCGTCAATGCAAATTTCATCTATAGTGAACGCAGGAAGTTTGCCTGTAAATCATGTGAAAAATCATTTTATGAACTATGTATTAAGAAATGGTTAGATAAAAATCGTTCATGAGCGGTAGATGTTCGTATAGATTGTATTCCATTTCAAGAAAGACGTTGTCTATCTAAAATGTTTTATTTTAATAGATTTGAGAACAATACATACATTAGATGTCAAAGTGTTCAATAAATTGATTAATTTGGACACAGAATTATTCGACGTATTCATTCGTAATAAAATCAAGTGTCACATTTGCAAAGCTTTTCATAAAAATACAACATTTATATTTTATGTGCCGCAAAATATACTTATTCGATTTCCTATCTCACAAGGAATGACCCTTGTTCTTAATACTTTACTCGTTAATTCAATTAATTTCATATCCTAATAATTCAATTAACATTCAATACGTTTTGAATGCTATTAATAGCATTTATGGTTGTATTCGATGGTTTTGGCATGACACTGAACAATACTTGTTTATCGTACGTAGATGAAGCAAACTCATTACTAAGAGTCTTAGTCTTAGTCTTAGTCTTAGGATGGACTACCAGATCAAGCATTTAGAAATACCTGCAGATGATATACACCAATTATTATTAAATACTACTTCATTAGATGATTTTATACTTAACGCACATTTATATACTACGTCTACTATGGTAGACCCAGTTTTATTACTCGACACACTAATATCCAGTACACTTGTGAAACATAATTATTCCACTAAACATTTACTGAGTGCGCAAGGCTAAGTTTATTTATAATTCGCTATACGCAGCACTGGTATTTATCGATAGTCTACCTTCATGGATAAACCTTCATTCAGTTCGACTCAACATCATCCCACCAAGTTGTGACAGCACCGTTTGAAAAAAAAGCTCGTAAACTGCTCAATTTTCTTTAGTATTCGAAACATCCTGCGCATCTAAACTATAATACTTGGAAAATCGACATGCTTTCATCAAACTTAACCTCAAGACGATACAATGCTCTGTGGTGTCCGCTGCACGCTTATGGTACGTTCATATTGCACGAAGAGCTACTACTCTTCGATAAATCGCAAAAATGTGAAACATTATCGATACTTAATGGCACTAGGGATAAGAGAACAAGAAGTAAAGTACAAACATCGTTAAAGCAAAACAAGGACATTATCCACGCCGGGCATTTATATTTCATAGTGTCTATCTATTTTCTAATTTCTGATTGTTAAGGAAAGTTTTGACACTCCATCGCT